GACGTTGTCACGTGCTCCGTCGGCCCGAACATCCTCAAATTTATTGCCCCTGTCATCGCCAAGGGTATCGACAAGCGTCCCAGCGACCTGGCACCCATTTCTGTCATTGCCTGCGAGAACGCCATTGGCGCCACCGACACCCTTGCTGAGCACATCAAGGACCCTCGCAACACTGCCGCCCACCGCTTGGAGGACCACCACGAGCGTGCTCGCTACGCCAACTCCGCCATTGACCGCATCGTTCCTGCTCAGGACCCCAACGCTGGTCTCGATGTCACTCTCGAGAAGTTTTACGAGTGGGTTGTCGAGCGCACACCCTTCGAGGAGATTCCCAGCATTGAGGGTATTAACTGGGTCGATGAGCTCGCTCCTTTCATTGAGCGCAAGCTTTACACTGTCAACACTGGACACGCCACTGCTGCCTACCACGGTTATAACCGCGGAAAGCGTACCGTCTACGATGCGCTCCAGGACAAGGCCATCATGGCTGAGGTTCGCAAGGCCCTCGAGGAGACCAGCAACCTGATCATCAGCAAGCACGGCATCGAGGAGAAGGCTCAACGTGAATACGCTGCTAAGATCATCCGCCGCATTGGCAACCCCCATTTGGAGGATGCTGTTGAGCGTGTCGGACGCGCACCTCTCCGCAAGTTGAGCCGCAAAGAGCGCTTCGTCGGCCCCGCTGCAGAACTCGCTGAGAAGGGTGAGGACTGCACTGCTTTGCTCCGCGCAGCTGAGATGGCTTTCCGCTTCCAGGATGTTGAGGGTGATGATGAGAGCAAGGAGCTTTCCAAGCTCATGTCTGAGAACTCTCCCGAGGAGGCTGTTACCAAGATCTGCGGCATTCAATCATCTGAGAAGATTCACCCCATGTTGGCTGCTGTCGTCCGCAAGGTCCAGGCTGACAGTGAGGAATGACTCACCGGAAAGCTTTGACGTGTAATGATTGATGGGCATGATTTTCGGAGTTCAGCATATATCACTGGGACAAGCATGGAGTTTGAGGATATTCAGGCAGCGCGTATTTCAGCGCTCTTCGTGAGCAATCCCGAGCCAAAGGCCAGGATTAAGATATACAATTTGAATTGCAAATTCGAGAAAAAATTTGAACAAAACCATTGACTGAATCGTGAATTGTGATCTATGATTCCTAAACCAATTCTTACAAACATGTCTCTCAATAGTACATATATTCGACTGTGTCACAAAACAATTGCTCTCAGTACCTATATGCGATACTGGCATACCGATACTGAGTATATCGACACTGGCATACTAAAATAGATCGACAAGCAGTCCTCAAATCTACAATTTTGAAATCGTATGCTGAAACCCCTTGTAAAAAAAACCCAGCGGAAATTCTCGACAACGTCCCTCTGAGGGGATTCAGAAGTCAAGCTTATCCACTGCAGTATAGGCCACGCTCGAGTGGCTGGTGCGCGGTCACCAGAGATCAGTGATGTGGCTAGAGGAATGTGTGTGGCTTTGCCTGCCAGATAAGATAAGCGATGCGATTGACGGACAGTTTACGTGGCTCAAATGTTTATGCCTTAGGCAAAAGCCACATCATTCAGGCACCAATCAGCTCCTGAACCTGGCGGCGGTAGGGACACATCTGTTGAAGCTCGAAATACCGACTTGGCCAAAATTGCGCCTGCCAAAGCTCTGGAAGCCATCAATTCCCACGACACAAGCTGACGAGGCTCTCCGACTCTTACCTCCGCGACCGGCTTCCAGCGGCCTCTCCTAATTATCTCTTCTTTCCTCGAATAAGCCGGACAGTCACGTATGATTCCCCTCTAGGCGACTTTACCAGCGCAAGAACCACTCTCCCCCCACTTCGTTCTTCGAGGACACCATCACCTTTCCTTCAACTCTCTCCCTTGCTAGTATACACGCATAGGTCGTCAACATGAAGGTCGACGTAAAGGTACGAACCAGACCGAATGGCATTTCTCAGCTTTGCGCATTGCTCGAGCAAGAGCTATCATTGCGTTAGCCAGAGCTGCAGCTGCATAGCTCTCGCCAGCCTGTCGTCCCCTGAATAGCTCTGGGTAGCTGACTTGTTCTTTCTAGCGACAATTGTTCGCCCGCAGCGAGCGGGTGAAGGGCATCGACTTCCACCCTCAAGAGCCATGGATTCTCACGACCTTATACAGCGGTCATGTCTACATCTGGTCATACGAGACTCAGCAGATCGTCAAGACCTTCGAGCTCACCGACGTCCCTGTCCGAGCCGGCCGATTCGTCGCAAGAAAGAACTGGATTGTCTGCGGTTCCGATGACTTCCAGATCCGTGTATACAACTACAACACCTCAGAGAAGATCACCTCGTTCGAGGCTCATCCCGATTACATTCGTGCCATCGCCATCCACCCGACACAACCTTTCGTGCTGACCGCCTCTGATGACATGACGATTAAGCTCTGGGACTGGGAGAAGGGCTGGAAGTGCGTCCAGGTTTTTGAGGGCCACGGCCATTACGTTATGGGTCTCGCCATCAACCCCAAGGATACCAACACCTTCGCTTCCGCATCTCTTGACCGGACTGTCAAGATCTGGAGTCTTGGTTCGGCGACGCCCAACTTCACTCTCGAGGCCCACGAGGCCAAGGGTGTCAACCACGTCGACTACTATCCTCACTCTGACAAGCCCTACCTCCTGACGACATCCGACGATCGCACTGTCAAGGTCTGGGATTACACCACCAAATCTCTGATCGCCACCCTCGAGGGCCACACGAACAACGTCTCTTTTGCATGCTATCATCCCGAGCTGCCAGTCATCATTTCCGGTTCCGAAGACGGCACCATCAGGATATGGCACGCCAATACATACCGATTCGAGCAGTCTCTCAACTATGGCCTTGAGCGCGCATGGTGCGTTTCCTACCAGAAGGGAAAGCAGGGAGTGGCTGTTGGTTTCGACGATGGTGCTGTCGTTGTGAAGCTGGGTCGTGAGGAGCCCGCCGTGTCAATGGACGCGTCAGGAAAGCTTATTTGGGCCCGCCACAACGAAGTTGTCTCTGCCATTATCAAAGGCGGAGGTATGTTGCGTCTATTCTAGACCTCCAGGCCTATTGCTAACACTGCTAGATGCCTCGATCAAGGACAACGAACCCATTTCCCTTCCCGTCAAGGAGCTCGGTACCTGCGAAGTGTACCCCTCGACCCTCGTACACAACCCGAATGGTCGATTTGTCGCAGTCTGCGGAGATGGCGAGTACATCATCTACACGGCTCTGGCTTGGCGTAACAAGGCCTTTGGCTCTGCGCTGGACTTCGTCTGGGCATCCAAGGAGAACACCAACGACTTCGCCATCCGGGAATCAGCAACCAGCGTCAAGGTGTACAAGAACTTTGTTGAGAAGGCAGGTGGCCTCGATGTCGGTTTCCAGGCCGAAGGTTTGACTGGAGGTGTCCTTCTTGGTGTCAAGGGTCAAGGGGGTATCTCATTCTTCGACTGGCAGACTGGTGGTCTGGTCAGACGCATTGAGGTCGAGCCAAGAGAGGTTGGTTTCTTGCTGCAGTGCTTCGGTCCATGTGCTAAATTGAACAGGTGTACTGGTCTGACAGCGGCGAATTGGTCGCCCTCGCATGCGAAGATACCTTCTACGTCTTGCGCTTCTCGCGCGAGGCTTACGTTGAGGGTGTCCAAACCAACCAGATTGACGAAGATGGCGTCGAGGCCGCCTTTGAGGTCATCACGGACATCAACGAGAGGTAAGCTGTTGTTCTTTCCCTCAAACAACTAGATGCTAATGCACAAGTAGTGTACGCACCGGAGAGTGGGTTGGAGATTGCTTCCTCTACACCAATAGCACCAACCGGTTGAACTACCTTGTAGGCGACCAGACTTACACGGTATCCCACTTCGATCAGTCCATGTACATCCTGGGTTACATCCAGCGCGATTCAAGAATCTACCTGGCTGATAAGGATGTTGGTGTCACCTCCTTCTCCTTGTCCTTGCCCGTGCTCGAGTACCAGACTCTGGTCCTGCGTGACGATATGGAGACTGCACAAGAACTCTTGCACACGATTCCTGCAGACCAACTCAACAAGATCGCACGCTTCTTGGAGGGACAGGGCCACAAGGAACTTGCACTGGAGGTTGCTACCGACCCCGAACACAAGTTCGACCTCGCTCTCGGACTGGGCCAGGTGGATACTGTTCTCGAGTTGGCGAGAGAGGCTGATGTTGAGCACAAGTGGAAGACTGTTGGAGACGCTGCCCTTGCCGGATGGCAGGTGGCCGTGGCACAAGAGTGCTTTACACATGCAAAGGACCTTGGCTCATTGCTCCTTCTCTACTCCTCCACATCTGACCGCAGTGGTCTGTCAAAACTTTCCGACCAAGCGCAAGAGGCCGGCGCTCACAACGTGGCATTCAGCTGCAAGTGGCTGCTGGGCGACGTTGCTGGCTGCGTGGAGATTCTGACCAAAACTGGACGGTTAGCGGAGGCTGTTTTGTTCTCGCAAACATACAAGCCCAGTCTGACGGCAGATGTCGTCAAGGAGTGGAAGGAAAGCCTCGAAAAGGGCAAGAAGGGCCGCGTCGCCAAGATGGTCGGTGCTCCGGTAGAAGACGAAGACCTATTCCCCGAGTGGGACGAATGGCTTCAACTCGAGAAGCAGGGTGGCGCCGCGCCTCAAGTTGCCGAGGTCACGAAGGTCAACGGAACAGACGCGACTGAGGCAGAGGAGGCAGAGGAGGCAGAGGAGGCAGAGGAGGCAGAGGAGGCCGACGAGGAGATGGCCGAGGCGGAAGAGGATGAGGAGTAGGTAGCCGTGTGCTCGGCATCTCAAAACGCAATTTGATTAGGGACGGTGCGGGGATCGTAAAAGGCCTAGATGTCGAATGGCCCTGCCTCGACGGGCGTTGACGGTAATGATCATGCCTTGCAAATAAATGGAAGATGTTTTTTGTGTCATGACGTTACGGTCTCGTCAGTAGATCCGTATGTAAAAGTATATTATAAGATGAAGTCTCTGAAGCCATGATGTTCCAGTAGCCGTGGTACGAGGCAAGTGTTTTGAACAGATCTCGCACCAACTGATGTGTGTGATGATTCTTAAAGTCTGGCGCATGCTGCCCATGGTATCCTCTTTTCAACCATGGCCTTTTGTTGAAAAAGCATGATATAACTAGTACTGACGACACCAATACCGCCCTCACCTAAAGCCATGATATTCAACCTCAGTAAATCAAGCTCACTTCGCCTTCTGAAGCTGTCCTTAGCGCCCAATCTTCAACACGATCAAGACCCCAGATACACGTGAACAAGTGCCTCGCAAACTCATCAACATCCGCCGCGGCCGCATTATGAAGCAACGCATCGCTATCAAGCGAAGGCACAAAGAGATTCCGATCACCGCAAACATTGGCGTCGCCATCGCTGCACTCCGCCCCCGGACGGTCAGCAGCGCCCACCCCAGCACCGGTACCGCCTCTATCTCGCCCGGTCCTGGCCCCCTTCCCGGACGTCTCCCGACACAGCGCCGCCCATCGCGGAGCCGAAGGCGCATCCCATAGTCCGGCGCGAGCGGTGAAGAGGGCGCCGCCGGAGCACTCGCCCCATTTCCCCTTGAGGGCGTTGTACACGCCCAGGGTGCAGACGACGATGATCCAGGTGCGGCGGACGGATTCGGAGAGGACCCAGAGGTTCCAGGTCCAGAGGTCGCGGTTGAAGACTTCTTCTTTTGGGTGGTTGGGTTTGTCGTTGTTATTGTTTCTCCCTGGTCTGACGGCGTTGGCGGCGTTGGTGTTTGCTGTGACTTGGTCTGCTAGGTCCGAGTCTCTTTGCGCTTGACACTGCCATGTTGAGGGGGGACATTGACTCCTGTAGAGAGTGTTGGCGTCTCTTTGGGCAGATTCCCATAGTTGTTTTGACCAGAGATCTAGGGTTGGTAGGTGTTCCTCGGCGGCGGCACGTAGGCTTACTGAGCCGTCGAAGAGGCGGATGATGGTGTAGATGTACAGGGCATGTACGCGAGCTAGATGATCTCTCGTCTCGAGTAACGGGGCAGACATGTTGTCGTCACCCTCTGCTACAGGCTGACTCGCCAGCAGGGCTGTGACCCGTTCATCCAAGATTCGATGAACGAATGCCTCATTCAAAGACGTCTTATGGAAGTACACCGACGCCGCAGCAAAGGCGTCCTGGACGCACGAAGGGAAGTGATTCCCTTCAGTGTAGAGGCTCCGGTGGATAAAGGGGTTGTGGCCGTCCATCACCCACCGCCGGGCCCAGGCTTGTAGGCCGCGGGTGAAGTTGGTCAGGACGGAGACGGGGTAGGCGTCGCGCGGGGGCGCGGGCCAGTGGTCTATCCTCCATGTTTGGGGGGCGAGGAACCACTGGCTTCCTGCGAGGGAGGCGGCTACGGAGGATTTGAGGCGGGGGTAGTCTGGTTTGGTGATGTACGGTTCATGATGTGGCTGCTGCGGAAATGTTGCGGGTTTTGGTGGCGGTAGGGAGAAGGCTGTTGTTGGCGAGAGGTGGAGGTTTGGGGTGGTGAAGTCTAGGTCTGACCAGGGCATGCTCCAGATGCCGTTTGTTAGAGGGGATGCGTCCCAGAGGAGTGTGTCTGGCATCGTTGTCTGGATGGAGTGCTGCTGCTGGAGGGATACCGGAGCCGGTGCCGGTGGGTCAGAGAACGGCAGCGGCTTGAAGGTCTCGGGCCGCCGGCGTCGCTTTGTGACGGGGTAGTAGCAGTCTACGTCGCGGTCGTCGCAGCGGGAACATGATGGTAGGCCTTTGTCGCAGCGGCGTTTGGATTCTGTGCATGCTATGCATGCCTTTTGCTTGGAGAGGCGAGCCATTGCGCGATGCTTGATTCCCTCTTAGTACTGGTAGTAGGGTGGATGAGGCGTGGTGCAGGTTTCACTGGAGTTAGGTACACCGGATCAATTCTTTGGTTGTATTAAGCCGTGTTTGTCATCACCACGATCTCGCAATAGATTCGAGACCACGATTGCTGAAGCAGAAACCGGGCAAGAGATCCTTCGAGTTGAGAGGATGACGGCATTTGTCAGCGCTAACAACCAGAGCGCGGGCTCGGGACGCCGTAAGCAATGTACGGAGTGGGGCCACTCCCCAGCGCCCGGTGCGGGTTTTGCGGGTTTTCGGCGGAAGACTTGCGGGAAACTTGCGGGAATTCTGGGCGGGTGTTTGGTGGACTCGGCTTCCCGGCTGCAGCGCTTGGGCAGGTCGGATTTGAACGGATTTTAAGCACGAAACAGTCTCAGATGGCTTACATGATGACAAACGATGGATTTACGACAACGTTGGGCGATTGATCACGTCTTTGCTGGCTGAATTGGTGAGGATGAAAGGCTGGTGTCTGTGTTACCGATTGTACTGGGAAACGATATAAGGCTGCGACGATTCTGCCAAATAATGTATCCCTTAGATAACAAAACGAGATCATCAGCTTCCTCAGTTTTGACATCGCATCAAATTCAATAATACCTCAAATCCCCTCTAGATACATCTAAGCGACCTCCAACACCACCCTCGACATGGACAGCGATATTGGCGCCGCCGCTTTTGCAGCACTGACTTCCACTTCCATCTACGAAACTGGAATGACCTTCACCAAGAAGGAGCACAAAGAAACCTACCCAACCATCTTCCCTTCCCGCCCAGAGCTCTCCCAGGCCGGACGAACAGTCCTCATCACCGGCGGCTCAGCTGGCATCGGCTTCGCCATCGCCAAAGGCTTCGCGCAGGCTCACGCCAAGCGCATCATCATCCTCGGCCGCCGCCAGAATCTCGTTGATGAGGCGGTCTCGGAGCTCAAGAAGGAGTTTCCCGAGGTGCGGTTTGATGGATACTCAAGCGATGTAGATGATCTCGCAGACGTGGAGAAGCTCTGGAAGGGCTTCGAGGCGGACGGCACAGTCATCGACGTCCTTGTGCTCAACGCTGCCAAGATTTCGGAACATGGCCCTATCTTGTCTCTCGGAAGAGATGATGTCTGGAGCTCCTTCACTATGAATGTCCGCTCACTCTTGGATCTCTCTGAGAGGTTCTACAAGCAAAAGGATGGCGAAGGCCGCCAGAAGGTATGCACTCTGATGCATTGCGTGACAAGAGACGAGGCTGACAGTATGATTGAAGTTCCTCGTCAACGTGTCTACGGAAGCTAGTCACAACTTTACCAAATCGGGTCCTTGGCCTGCTTACAGTGCCAGCAAGAACGCAGGAACGATGCTGATCCAGATGATTGCCAAGGACACGCCCCCCGAGAGGATGCAGGTTATCAACTTCCACCCGGGTGTGGTGCATACCTCGGCTTTCAAGAGCGCTGGAATTCCCGAGGATGTCTATCCGTTTGATCATGGTATGTGTAATCCGAGATGGAAGAGATCGGTGTGCACCTGCTAAACAATCCTGACCTTCAGTTGATTTGGCTGGGAACTTTGCCGTCTGGGCCGCATCTGAGGAGGCGCGCTTCTTGCATGGCCGCTTTGTTTGGGCCAAATGGGATATTGATGAGCTCAAGAGCGGCGTGATTGGAGAGAAGATCAAGAACAACGATCACTACCTCAAAGTCGGCGTCGTTGGACTCCAGGAATAAGTTTTCCTTTCGACTTCGCGGTCAAGACAGGGTAACAATAGACACTCGGAGACAGACTACACTAAATTTGATTCAATCTTCACGTTATACTATTGCTTGCTATGCTCCCCAGAAGTTTCCAAAGCCATTCGGAAACATCCTCATCTAGCTTTAGTCCACGTGCGCACGGGAAAAATTGAAGGAGTCGCGAAGAACGCCACGAGGCCCCGAGGACTGCCAGGCAGTTGGCATTCTGGGAAAGCTTCAATTACCGAGGAACAGTTGGTGTAAGGCTGGAAATTGCTTGAATATGGTGGCCTAGAAACCTTTTTCTCTCAAGTCATAACCCTTCTCGCTGCATCGAGTCACACCCACGGGCCACAAACACGTAGCTACTCGGCCAACGAGGATAGAGGCTCTCACCAACCCATCTGGAGAACTCCGCAAGTCACACTCCTGTGACGGATCACTCACTTGCACGACGAGACACATTTCGACCATGATTTGTCTTTTAAATGCCTCTTGCCTGCCAGTGTAAAGCACTACGAGGTTTGCGACCGGTCTGAAAATGCGTCTCCTATGTGACAGTAGTGAGATCCATTGAGAGAAGCATCATGACTGACTACAAGTGAGCTTGTTTGACAGTAAGTCTCCTTTTTGAGAAAAAAGAGGTTGGTATTACAGATGCCTTTTCTTGGTTTCCCATCTAGGCTTCTTGAGTAGTGTGAACAACCTAAAATAACTCCAGGCAAAACATCCTCTAGCACTAGCTTCGCCATTTCCCCTGATTTGGCTATCTTAGTGCCTTGCATCGAAACGAAACTAGAGCCATATTGAACAAGTCTTCCCTAGCCAAACGTTTCTCCGAATAAGTTGCAAGTCATCCTGCTTTAGTATTTTGGGTTAGCTGAAGGGCTTGTTGCCACTTCAGAAGCCATGGCTAGCATCCTCTCAAGAGCCAGGATGACGCCGTCAGTCATTGGGATGCCGCTCTGACAGCACCCAACTCCCTTCTCGTGAAGCTTGTCTTTCGCGTGATTGATCTTTGTGAACGTTTGTGCGCACTAGGTAGAGAGCACGGTCGTGACCGGCGGCAGCGAACTGAAGCCCAGAATCCTGATTCTCATGCTTGAGATTAAGCTACACCACGGTAATCAGGGGCATCCCATCTGTTTGCGTCTGTACATATTTATTGGACGAGTGCCACACCTCTGATGAATCCATATCCTCATCAACCACATTCCATTCTTTCAACAACATAGCATCTTCATTGACATTCATTTATATACCAAAACCAACTGTCTTTACCAGATCTCACAATCACTTTTCTCAACATGTACACCAAGACCGCCCTGATCGCCGCCCTGACTGGCTCAGCGACCGCCGTCTTCGACGTCAGACCGGACCGCATCCGTCGCGATGTCGTCCCCCGTCAGACTGAGCTCTCCGCAGACCCTTGCCTCAATGCCCTAGGCACAGTCTACGCCAACGCGCCAACTCCTCCTCCTAAGATCCTCTCCTACGAGATGACTGCTCCTCCGCAAACCGACCCTTGTAGCATCACGGTCCCTGCGGAGATGAGCGCCGAGTACTCGAGCTATACCTCGGAGCTTCTTAGCTGGGTCGACGCCAACTCGGCCTCGATCGCGTCGGCGGTGTCTGTTTGCTCCACTCTCTCCGAGTTTGAGACCGAGATCCCACTCTGCACGGCGGAACCCAGCAGTGGTGCTACGGAGTCTGGCTCCTCTGCACCAAAGACGACGGCTACTGGCGGCGACTATCCCTCTGCTACCGGCGAGAAAAAGACTGGAGCTGCCGCTGGCACTGGTGCCGGTGTTAGTGCGACAAGCGGGCGCAACAGTCCCACACAGATTCCCGTCAACGCCGGGACCCGTCACACCGACATGATTGCTGCCGCTATCGTTGCTGCTGGCTTTTTCGGCGTCGCCGCGTTTTTGTAAGGGGAATGGACATACTTGCACCACGGAAGAAAACACTGGGCATGAGCTTCATAGGTTGTCAAAATTGTATACGTAAAGTTTAATTTTATACAAGAATCTACGCCGTAACTGTACGACTTGGTCTCCATCTTGACCTATAACATCTAGCTCTACTCAGAGATGAGTGTAAGCCGATCATTACTTAACTCTTAAAGGGCCTGACCTCCCACGGTGTAGCCACAGCCATAGCGGTTGTGCACTTGGCCGCCAGGGCAGCCTTACCCTCATCACTGGTAGCGGAAACGCAAGGGGTACCAATGTCTCCCTTGATACCGTCGCAGAGAATGACGGAGTCACCACCGCACGGGGTAGTGATGTTGAAGTTCTTGAACTGAATGTTGTCGCAGACGGCATTCGGGTTGGTGGAGCAAGTAAGCTTGGCGACGGCACGACCATACTTGCCGCTCGAGTATCCAGAGAAGTTCTCAAACAGGATGTTGCTGATGTTCATCTGGGAGGGGTACGCAGCGCAGGTGGTGGCGTTGATATTGAAGTAGCACGAGTCAATGAAGGCCGTGTACTCGTTGTTCGCCTGCCAGAAGTTGCGGAAGGTGACGTTGTCGATGAAGCCGTAGCCAATGTTGGGACCGGCCCAGGTCTTGAGGCGGGCGCCGTGCTGACCGTTGAGCATCCAGACGTTCTCGATGACGACATCCTTGACGAAACTCTTCTCGCCGGCGTACTGGCCAAGGGATCCGATGGACTGGCCGTGGGTGCCGTTGCAGTACATGGTGTCGACGTGGACGTTGGTGGCGTTAGACTTGGGGGAGAAGCAGTCGTCCCCAATGTTCACCCAGGCGCGCTTCACGCGGACATCTTCAACGTTCAGAGAGTCGAAGAAGTCGGTGTTCTTGGGCTCGGCGGTGTGATTGTTGGTCTCGGCGGTGACAATGACGTCCGTGAAGGAGATGTCCTTGGCTAAAATTCTGTTAGCGCTGGTCATCTTGCAGTAACAATGGTGGTACCACTTACAAGTCACGATGAAGGTAGTCCAGCAAGGAGAGTCCTTGAAGTGGATGCCCTCAATGGACAGTCCAGTCGCGTTCTCCGCATAGAACAGGATAGGGCGGAGGTAGGCGTTTGTGGGGTCCAGAATTCTGAAAGTTTATTAGAGATAAGCTTAAAGCAAGTCAAGGATCTGTCGAAAGCTTACTCAAGACCGGCAAACTCGTTCCACCATCTCTGGCCGTTACCGTTCAAAACACCCTGGCCGTACAGCTTGACGTCCTTGCCTCCCCACTTCCAGAACATGATGGAGTTCTGGAACGGGTGGTGGAAGGCATTGGCCTGCCAGTACGGGGTGTCGTTGGTGAACTTGATCTCACCCTCCCAGTGGACGTGGATATCATTAAGCCATGTCAGATCGAGCGGCTTACCAATGATGAATGTCTGGTTGGCGGGGAGGTGGAGAGTGCCGCCGTTGTTGGCCAGCTTCAGGCCCTCAACAAACTCGTCAGAGACGTCGTCGAGGTCGTTCTCCGAGGCGCGCAGAGTGTACGTGTTACGGCAGCCCCTGGAGCGCTTCTGATAAGGGTGCTTCACGCGAAACTCATCCACGTTGCGAGGGACGCCGGCCGGAATCAACTCGGCCGAGTAGGCAAGGGCGCTGCTGGCAGCCGCCAGAACGGCGAAGATGGACGAGACTCTCATGGCTGCGTGTGGGATTGAGTGGTGAGAGGGAAGCACACACACGAGGTTGAGTAGGATTGCCAAGTGAGTTGCCAAGTAAGGAGGCTGCTCGGGGGAGGTGATCAGCCATCCAGAACAACTCCCAGAGCGCGAGCGTCTTCATATACTCGTTCCGCTTGGCAATGGACCTGCATCGCCAAGTCACATTTCTTTCCCAATTGCTCGACACCCCAAGTGATCATCTTGGCTACCAACAGCTCTTCGGCTATGAAAATATTCGACGTCTCTCCAAAGTCGGGGTAACATGGCAGGGGGAGAATGAGCAGCTAGCTGGGGCGATAGCAAGCTAGTCTCGCTACGCCCAGCCATCTGGAAATAACCAGGACGCACTGCGCGAAGGAGAAACAACATAACCCATTCCACCTATCAAGCCCTCGTTTCTCCTCTCGTTCAGTGTCCTGCATCAGTCCATCCGCGTAATCAGCAGACCGCCGCACCGGGTCTCTCGCCGGCCTCGCAGTAGCCCCAGGCTCCCCCAGCCGGGCGCCCATGGGGGTTTGACGGGTTGACCAGCCTCGAACCCCATCGCGACGAGGGGGAAAAGTTGGGGAAGATGCGAGCAAACGAGCTTTAGCTAAGGTGGATTCGGAGATTGTGCAGGTTGCCTGCATGTCAGTTCCCAGGGTCGACTGCGCCGTCTGGTCTACGCGAGCAACTGATTGATGGAATTTCTAGACCGTGGTCAACGGAGAAAACTAGCCAACAATCGGATGGATTCGACTTGCGTCGTTAGTCGAGATTCCCCCGCACAAAGCCGCAATCTCCCCCAGTGATCCATCTCTTTGTTGGAAATTTTGCTCCCTTGTCAGCCCCCCCCCCCCCGCGTCGTGATGTGGATGGTGGATCGTGGAGGAATTGTGGAGGGTTGGCCAAGAAAGGACTCCTGCCCGTGAGCTCAACGCCCCAAAGCTTCAGTCAATTTGGTCGATGTCTTGGCCACTTGGCCACTTGGCATTTCTTTTTGCCAAGAAATATCATGTCTTGATTTCCGGAGGTAATTGCCGAAGTGAGCGCCAAGGCTTCAATCATGACCACACACCGTCTCTTCACGCGTCGTCCAGCGATATTGATCTCAATGACCACAGCTTGTGAAGATATCATCCCCGGAGTTGAGTTGAGCTGAAACCAGAATTAGGAAACGGTCGTTTATTCTATACCAAGCAAAGCCTCTATCGTCCTACAGCAAGACCTCGGTCCGAGTCACAACTCTTCAAGTGCCAGATTCGCGTTGGTGGCATCCGTCAGAACCTCGACCAAGGCAACGATACCATCTGCAATACTTTCCGCCACTGTCACATCCAAGATGGTGTCGTCATACATGACCTTCAGTATGTGACGATCACCCAGCGACTTGGACACTTCGACGACCAGCGCGTATGGCTGGTACATGCGCACCTTCGACTTCGCCATGACAAGCCATCGGTAGCGGCCATTCGGATCATCCTTGGCTGCTGGCTCGAACGGTTGAGAGAGGAACAAGACTCGGTTACCGTGTGTCTCGCGAGATAGACCAGCGACGCCGTAAATATCGTCAAGGCCGACGAGGCCGTTCTCGGTTACATCCCAAAAGTCGTCTTGTAACTTCGCGAGGAAGTCGTGCACCAACTCCTTCGGACCAACGAACGTTCGGAATGGCAAGAAGTTGGCCAGTGTTCCGTTGATGGACTGAGGATCCGGCAGCGCTACGTTGCGACCGCTCAGCAAATAGTCAAAGCGGATATCCGTAGCCTCGGTCGCTGCAGCAAGCCAAAGGGAAAACGCTCCCTGGAAGATGATGCTCGGAGTAACTCCAAGGCGAGAAGCTGCTTGGTCAATGTCTGTCGTCACAATCTCTCTCCGCAAGCTGGCAGTGATCTTTGGCGAGGGGGCCGCAGCAAGATCTCGGCCATGCAGCTGCTGGTTGACAGGCCCTAGCCCATCCATCTTTGCTTTCCAGTACCCAAGACTAGCTGTCTTGTCTTCCTCAAAGACATGCTGAGAGAAGTCGCGAAACTCCACTGGTGGCGGTACGCTTTCGCCCCGAAGAATGGCGCCAAAGTGGTCATCAAATACGCGAAGCAAAGTGCCGTCGTAAACAGCGTGATCCATCTTGATGACGAGATCCCAAGATGCATCGCCATAGGCTATGATAGCATATTTGATGAAGGGACGACCAAACTCAAAACGAGCCTGCCAGAACTCTTCAATGAAGCTCGAAGACTCTGACTCGGAGTTCAAGGCCACCTTGGTAATATCCAGCTCAGAGCCATCAAGAACAACTCCGACCCAGCCAGCTTCGGGAGTATCGATCCAAGTCGTCCGCAGGATTTCGTTTACTTCAGTGAGTCGAGTCGTTGCTTCAATCCATATGTCCGGATCGACGTCCGCCGTCATACGTCGGACAGTCTGCAGCGCCCACATTTGCGACTCTCGGCTGCCCTGTTTGAGGAACTCGGCTTGACCAGGAGGGCATGGGTACACTGGAGGAGTTGTAAGCTGGCAGCCTGACTGGAAATTGTGTAAGAGGAAACTTACCATGATCGACATCTGTATCCCATACTATCCCAACTTCCTGGGCAGCTACCTTGATTGACGGAGGGACCTCGAAGGAGCGCTCAACCACCTGACCGCGTGCTTCTATCTTGCGCAGAGTGGAGGCCATATCCTTCAACTTGGGGGTCTTGAGGATATCAAGCACCGTTAGCGAGTAGCCTACTCGTCGCAACTGGCCCGTGAGGCTGATGGCAGAAATCGAATCACCCCCAAGCGTGAAGAAATTCGCCTCACGCCCAATATCATTCTGCGGGATGCTGAAGATGTCAGCCCAGACGATTTCCAGGATCTCTTCTGATGGCGCCTGGACTGGGACAACTTGATGATTCTCGCCAGGAGACTCAAGCACGCATTGCGCCAAGTACTCCCTGTCGAGTTCGTTGGCCAGCACTTTCAGTGCTTTGCGGTCGACTTTGCGCGAGGGCAGCTTGGGGAAAGCGTCCATTGGAACAACAAACTTCGGAACCATGTACGTCGCCAGCGAACTCAGATTCTCGCGCAGTTCAGCAAGAGAGTCTCGGAAGGTTGACGGATCCTGAACACCAGTTGGGCCAATGGCTGCAGAAGCTTCGTCAAAGATGCAGAATGCGATAAGATGGGCCTTGCCTTGGATGGTAGCAGCTAATGCCACCGTATCCTTGACGAGTCCGGAACGGCGGATGGAGTTTTCGACCTCTCCAAGTTCGATGCGATGGCCATGGACCTTGACCTGATTGTCCTTTCGTCCGAGACACTCGATCTCACCCCCTGGAAGCCAGCGCGCTAGATCTCCTGTACGATAGATGCGCATACCAAGGGATTTACTGTCGACATAGGCGGCTTCTGTCAAGTCTAGCCGGTTCATGTAGCCGTCGGTCACTTGTGGCCCTGCGATGCACAGCTCGCCAACAGCGCCGTACGGCACAAAAGTCTCACCATCTGGGCTAAGGATGAAAGCCATGGCAGTTGAGAAAGGAGCTCCAATGTTGCCAATTCGATGACTCGTGACACCTGATGACGACTCGATGCTCTTGGTCGTCACCACCATGGATGTCTCTGTTGGACCGTAAACATTCAAGATCTTGCAGTGAGGGCTCCAAACATCAACAACATCCGGCGTCAGAGGCTCACCGCCCACAATCAGAGTCTCGAAGCCTGGCACATCTTCCGGACTGAAGAGCTTCGCGACCGTTGGCGTGATGATTGCCTGCCTCACATCCATCCGGTTGATGCATCCAGCAATGTCGGAAAGTAAAGTTTCGGTGGGCGCCATACAGAGTGTTCCGCCAGTGCTGAGCGTGTTGAAGAAGTCTTGAACCGATGCGTCGAAGACGTAATTAGCGAACTGCAGAGTCCGCCAGGTGCCCTCGAACCGGCCTTCCACCTGTGCCATGCTGGTGACTGCAGCCGCGGCCGCTCGGTGAGGTACCATGACGCCCTTGGGCATGCCAGTGCTGCCAGATGTGTAGATCATGTAAGCAATGTTGTCGGGTGTCGTGCGTGTTATAGGCGCAATGTTGGCATCGGATCCATCGCTCGAGACGGTGCTAAGCGTTCCGTGACTTGGCATGGTCAGTGTCTCAACGCTGTAGAGTTGCTTGACGTAGGCTCCGAATTCAGCATGCTGCGGATGGACCACGAGGAGCTTGGATCTTGTATCGGAAACCACAAAGCCGTTCCTTTCGTTCGGATTATCCGGACTCAGAGGGACATACGCTCCTCCGGCCTTCATGACGCCTAGAATGGCAATCATCATGTCTACTGACTTCTCAAGCATCAGAGGCACCAGGTCTCCTGGAGAGATGCCATGAGCAATGAGAGTTTGAGCGAACCGATTCGAAAGTCTATCGAGAAGTGCATACGACACGATCTCCTTCCCGTCAAAGTCGATGGCAATAGCGTCTGGGGTGCTGGTAGCGATCCTCTCGAATGCACTGTGAAGAAGTTCTGCTCCAGGAACTCGAAGACTTGTGCGGTTGGAGAGCGTGTTGGAGACATAGTCAGTCTCTGCATGATTCATGACCGACAGCGACGCAAGCTTCTTATTCGGTTGGCTCAGCAAGACACTGATGATGTGGACAACCGAGTCTTTGATGAAGTGAAGTCTGCGAGGTTCCATCGTACTGGCCAAGCGAATGACGGTTGTAGCAGTTGCTTCCTCTACTTCAAGAACAGTGGTATCAGAACCGGATGCCCACTGAGGTCGACGACCATGTACACGGAAGACTTCTTCGGCGTTTTGCTTAGAGGCACCTCCCGCATCGCTCTGGCTGACGAGAATGTTGACGAGTGTATCCAAGGCCTGGCTGGGAAGGTTCCCAGCACGCAAAGCGCCAACAACACCAAGTTGTGAATGTCTGAGGAGCTGCGCGAATCCTGACAAAGTCCCCTTCAAGTAATTTCTGATGGTGAAGTTGGGATCTGCTTTGATGCGTTGTGGCACCGAGGTCATGGTCGGACCGTCGATCTCGTTGATGTCAACTACGGGAACCTCCCTTCCAGAGACGGTAGTTGCAAATGTGACATCATCGCTCCTTAGGTGGTGGGAAAGCAAGATAGCCCAGGCTCCATAGACAACTGCGCCAAGCGTGGAACCGATCTGTCGAGATCGCTGGCTGACGCTGAAATCAAGTTCAACCTCGACCTTGCTGGTCTCCTGGCCTGGGGAGTGATTCAACTTTATGGTCTGCGCTCCCTCGAGATATTTAGACCAGAATCTCTGGCTGGTGGCGCTGTCTTGTGAGTGCAAATGTTTGACAAAGTTGGTAAAGGCTGGCCGAACTGGAGCGGATTTTCCCAGATAGACTGTTGCCACATCTTCGTAAAGAAACTTGTGAGACCAGTAGTCGAAGAGTGAGTGATGCATTGTGACCACTAGGACGTGGCTAGAAAGTACTGTGGCATTCCACAGAGGTGCATCCAATTCCCACTGGCGAGACTTGGCCTTCATATTGAAAGACTCCACTGACTCCGAAGATTCATGCCAAGGAAGTGAGAGATCATGGCGGATAGTCTGTAGGAAGGATCGTTTGTGTGGAAAAAATACCGTCCGAAGGATATCCCGAGAACGAAACACTTCCTCAAAACTCGCTCTCAACTTCTGAAGGTCGACCGCGGCAACGTCCCAAGCCCGTGAGTAAGTGTACGGGTCGGATGGCGTGCTCAAAGTTGACAACATAGTCTCCTGGAATGGCGTGGCAGGATAAGCGTCAACGATGTTGACGTCACGTTGTAAGTCGGAAGCAAGCCCCAGGTCGGCAATGAGGGCGAATGGTTCGGGCTCTTCCTGGGTCTCGGCACTGAATGCCTGTGACTGAGCTGCCAAAATTTGAAGGGATGCTCCCTCAAGGAGCTCACTCAGCTCGACTGAGAAGCCAGCTTTGCGCAGCTCAGAGATAGCCTTGATAGCTTCAATGGATGATCCACCCAAGTCTGTGAATGAGTGCGATCGTTTGATGACTGATTGTTCGATCTTCAAGACGCTTGACCAAGCCGATGCGATGGCAACCTCTGCCTTGTTGGAAGCGCCGTCAACCAGATCGTCGTCACCGTCGCCAATCTCCATGAGCTTAGCAAACCCAGAGGCGCCTAGCTTTTCGGCTGAGTTGCGAAGGAAAGGATAGTCAATCTTCCCATTGGCATTCTTGGGAATTTTCTCAACAGGAAACCAGATGCTGGGCACCATGTAGGCAGGCAAGCCCTGATGCAAGAGCTCCCTAGCAGAAACCACCGAGTTCCTAAAGTCGGTGCCGCCTGCGAGAACCAGAGCTGAAGCCAGGACTTTGCGATCATCATTCAGACTGACGCCAAGGGTGACGGACGCGGTAATGGCATCGACAGAGCGCAATAGCCGATCTATTTCTGCGGGCTCAACCTTCTGGCCATTGATCTTGACTTGCATATCCGCCCGACCCAAGATCTCAATCTGACCATCAGCAAGTCGACGGGCTTTATCACCAGTTCGGTAGAGCCTGCCGGTACCAAATGGGTTGGCGACAAAGGAGCGCGCTGTGAGCGCTGTCTCGTTGTGGTAGCCTTCAGCAAGCTGTGGACCAGCTAGACAAAGCTCGCCCGCAATGAGCAGAGGCGCAATTTGAACTTCTTCTTGAACTAGAACAAACGCATCTGTAGTATCGGCCGGAGAGCCGACTAAACGGTGGTTGAAAGTCCCTCCAAGTGACAGTTGCAGCTCTTTTCCAAAGTTGAGCTGGGTACACTCGCTAAGCCCATAGGTATTCCTCAGACGTAGGCCCTTCTGAGCTGACCAGATCTCAACAAGATCTCGCGAGATCTGCTCACCAACCAAGGTGATTTGCTTGAGACTAGGCACCTCATCAGGCCGTAAAAGCGACAGAGCGGACGGAGTGATACCAAGGGAGTCGACTGAGAACCTGTTGATGACACCGGCAAGGTCACTATTCAGAGACTCCTTACTAGCAAGGACCAAAGTGGCTCCATGGATAAGCGTTCCCAGAATGGTACGCTGAGCGGCGCTGAAGCTGGGGTTGTAGAATAGAAGCCACCGTTCAAGACCGTTCAGAGACTGATAGGCCATGCCGCTCGTAGCCGCACGATGTGTGAGAACGGCACCCTTGGGCTTGCCTGTGCTTCCAGAGGTGTAAATCACATAGCATCGGTCTTCCGGGTGGATGTCGATGCTAAGGTTACCCAACTCATTAGACGAAGAAGCGGCTAGATTGTCTCCCGGTGTTACGGGCTAGACCCGATTAGTAGATCCGAGCCTTAGCCCGGATACTGCTACGGCTTACCGCGCCGCTTCTATAGAGGTCCTATTTAAACGCTTTTCCTCTATAGAACCTCCGCAGAACCTCCGCTTTAAAAACCTCTACTCCTTAATTTAAATTCTATATATTAAAATCCCCTTAACGTAGACTTATATAGGCTAGACTTTTAATATATTTAAGCTCCTCTTTTTACCCGCTTTATTATTAATTATACTACGTAATAGAGGCGAATACGATTATTAACGTACCGCTAAGTACTTAGTTAGTAAGAGCTATAACGTAGACCTAGGAATAAATTATTTAGGGCCTATAAAAGTTAATAAAAGCCTAGAGGTAGGGCGAAATAAAAAGAGTAATAGATATAGTAAAGTAAAAGCGTAAACGTAAAAAGTTTAATAAAATTTTATAGCTACTATAAAAATAGCTTTAATAAATAAACGGACCCCCTACGCTTTTTATTAAAGAACCCGACCTTTATAGAACCCCCGCTAATTTAAAGGCGCCCTTTAATAACGGAGCCCCCTATAAAAAGCCCCTACTAGACCTAGCGAAGTTCTTAAATAATAAAAATAAATATAATATCTAAAAAGCCTAGATACGTAATAAGCTCGTTATTAATATATTATTTTATTATACCGATAAAGAACGGAAATATTTTATTTTTTTATACTTCGCCCCTCGGGTCTAAAAAATAATGAGCTAGTTCTATTATAAAGAAAGGAAAGATAAAAAATAAAGGTTTAACGAACTCTTTATATACCTTTTATAAATATATAGCAACTTTTATTAAGCTAAGAACGCCCTTAACGAACTATTAATAATAATTATAAAAAAGGGTAAAAAGTTTATAGTATTTTTATTTTGATTTAAAAAAACCTTAGTTAACGCTAGAGGTTAGAAATAGCTCGCGGACGTTACGATTTAATACTTTACTTGCGCTTTAGTTCTATAATTAAAAAAATATATAATTGCTATATTTTAAAATAAATCGTTATATACCGGCTTCTTTTATAGCGTCTAGGTAGTAATTAATAATATAAAAGGCTACGACTTCGACTAGTATAACCCCTAGATTCTAGTATAAAAAGGATATTACGTAATAAAAGAACGCGTTAATAGCGATAGAGATATAACTATAACTAGAGCTATAAAGGTTATAAAGCCCGAGTAAAAAACGAAGTTATTAATAAAGCTAGAGACTCGGCGCTACTTTAACTATAATAAAGTTAGATATATTATAAAGAACTATAAATAAAAGCGGGAAGCCCGCGTAGTTTAAGCGGCGCCCGTAGAGCACCGCGTAGAGGAAGTAAACTTAAATAATAATAAATATTATTTAAAAAAAGAATAGCTCTAATATAAAATCGGATACCGGAGCTTATAGATAAAGAACGGATAGGATAAGAGTTATTTAATTAATAACGGACTATAAGCGGGCCTTCGGCACTATTTATTATAAAGATTAATAAAATATATAAGACTTTAACGCTAATAAACTATAAATATAATATATATTTTATAATAGATTCTTAACTAGCCCGCCGTCTTTGCTTCTTATATATAAATAAAATAAAACGTAGACTTTATAGATTTATAGATAAGTCCGCTTAAACTATAACTAAAGGGGTCGTTACCTTTAACTTCGAGATTAGTAGTTATATAAAAAAGGTATATACGTATATTATTAAAAGCCTAGACGTAGACGTGTTTTTTAAAAAACCTTAAATAGAACGGAATTGCATTATATATAATATAGCTAAATAGCGGATCTAATATAAAAAGGGCGGAGTAAAAGTATACCTTAGCGGACAAAAAAAAAGCGCTATAATATAAAAGATTTGCGAGGTACGAAGCCTAGGAGCCCCCTCTTTCGCCGCCTTATATTATAAAGTCGTTATAAAAAAAAAGCGCCGGCCGAGCGAGTACGCCGCGGGGATCTAAATAATTAACCTCGCTAATATTAATAAGGCCCTAAAGCTAAAGAGCGAGACCGACTATTTCTTTTAACTATTATAATAAATAAAAGAGGAATACGGCGACCTCTTCGAGCTATTTAAAGTATACCCCCTTCTACTAGCTCGGCTAGGAATCGACTTTATAATTAACCTCGAGTAGTAGTTTAATAAATAAGAAACGCCCCTCCCCTAGGGCCCCCTCTATTCTATATCCCGCGAGGAGCTATTAGTACTATATAATACCTTTAAAGACCTATTTAATAAGGGCTTTATTTAAGTTAGTAGCTCCTCTATTAGAGCCCCTGTTCTCTTTATTAAAAAACTAGGGGGCGGCCTACGCTTTTATTACGATTATAGAGTATTAAACGTAATTACGTAGAAGGACTATTACCCCTTACCGTTAATTAATAAAACCTTTTAAAGAGTTAGTTTAGTAAAGTAGTTTATAAAGCTAGATATCGTAGCGGCCTTTTATAAAATTAGGGTAGTTAAAGGGTATTAAAAAAAGACCGCTTTTTAAACGTAATACGGCTTTTTTAAATAGATAGTTTATTTATTCGGCCTAACCGGGGCGCTCGCTATATTCTAGAGGTATATAAACTAGACCCTAAGGGAATTCTTTAATAACTTCGCTTTTACGTATATAGACGATATATTAATATACTTAAATAGATTAAAAGCGGACTATAAAAAAAAAGTATAGCGGATATTACGTACCTTTATAGTAGCGGGCCTTAATCTCGACTTAATTAAAAGCGAGTTCTCTATTTAAACTATAAAATACGTTAAATTTATTTTTAAAACGGGATAAGGGATCGCGTATAACTTAGAAAAAGTACGTATTATTTATAAATAGCTCGCGTTTAAAATAGTAAAAGGGGTTAAAAGCTTTTTTGGCTTTACTAACTATTACTGCGTATTTATATATAACTACTCCGCTATTATTAAACCCCTTAACGCCCTAACTAAAAAAAAGGCGCCGTTTAAATAGATAGCCGAGCAAAACGCCGCTTTCGAGACGCTTAAAGAGCGTTTTATATCTATACCTTTATTTTAAAGCTTTAACCCTAACCTAGTAATAGTTATCGAAACCGATTATTCTAGATTTACATTTAAAAGCTCCCTTATATAAAAGGATTTATTAAATATACGCCGACTAGTTACTTTTTATTTATAAAAGCTCACGCTTACCTAGTATAACTACTTAATCTATAATAAAGAGCTCTTTATTATAATATCCTATTTAAATGTATAGGACGTAGAGCTGCGGAGCTTTTACGGATTTAAAGTTATTATAGACTATAAAGGGTTAAAGTATTTTATATAAAAATAGAAGCTAACCGAGCGCTAGAGCCGTTAAATAAAATAACTTTTATAATATTATTTTAAAATTAAGTACTACTTAGGCCGTTTATTAGCCGCCCTAAACGCGCTCTCTAAGCGTAAATAAAATACCTTAACTAGCTAGGATAATAAGAAAAAGAGGGGAAAAATTATTTAAATAATTCTTAACTCTACTTAGCTAGCGACCGGCGTAGTCCGCCGAACTAAAACTATAAAAGTACCCGAGCTATTTAAAACCGATATTTTTATAAATAATATAGAGCTTTAATAATAATAGAACGAGATAAAAATAAAGGATAAATAATACTTTAAAGTATACGAAATAGTATTAAGTAGAGCTAGGGCGCTCCCCCCTAAGTTAGGCCTTAAACTATAAATTATAGAATATAGTATTAACGTATTTTTAAAACTAACCTAGTAAGAGAGATTATAGGTCCCTAAATATAAAGACCCGGATTATAACGATAACGCGTTCTAAATAGAGATAATTTAGCGCTACTACGGATTTTTAGTAACGAACTACCCCGGTAAAAACGCTACTATAGCTATCCTATCTAAGTAGTTTTATTAGCTAGGCTAGTCTAGCGTAATAAAGAGGTTTATTTAAAATTATAATACTTATAGAGAGAATACTATATAGTAATAAGCTAAACGCGGCCTTTTATAGCCTCTTATAATACCGGAATAGATAAAAAGCGACCTAGTAATAGACTTTATTACCGACCTCCCCCTATTATTAAAGAGCGGCGCCCGGTTCCTATAAGTAATAGTTAACTACTTTGTAAAGTCCGTTATTTTTAAACCGATAGTATTTATAGAGGTAGAGGCCTGCGCAGACCGTTTTATTAACTACTACTTCTAATTCTATAAAATACCTCGGTCTATTATAAATAATCGCGGTAATAATTAGATTAATAAATTTTAGTACCGATTCTATATAAAAATAAGGATAGAGTAGTGCCTAAATACCGCTTTTTATCTATAAACCGATAGGTTAACTAAACGATTTAATTAAAAGATCGAAGTAATTTTATAATATATAATCGTATATACCTAAAATAACTAAGAGGACTAGCTATTAATTATTTAACTAAGCTTTAATAACTAAATAGCTTTAATAATAGAGCTTTTATTTTTTTTTATAAAGTACGGGTATAACGTCGAGCCCCTAAAGATTTGAAAAAGTATATTAAAAGCGGTAAACGAGTAAGAAGTAAAAGCCAATTTTATAATATAAAAACTTATAAAAATAACGAAGTTCGCTTAGGCTACTATAGCCGCTTTATAAAAACGGATAGAGCGCTTAGTTAACGGACAAAAAGCGCCGGTAGAGCGCTTCGAAATTAATAATAAAGTATAGCTATATATAGGTAATTATAGGTCCCCTAGATTTAATAAAAAGTTAGATTAGCTATATTATAAATACGAAGTAGTCGAGGTTACGAAACCTACCGTTATACGGCTTAACGTATTTAATAATATTTACTCTTATTTCTATATTAATATATTATAGCGTATAGTAAACGACCTTTTATTAAGCTAATAGTAGATAGATAAAAAGCCCCCTTTAATTAAAGAAAACGATAGGGATTATTAATTAATTAAAGAAGTGTTTATAGTATAGTAGAAGCGTATAAGCTGCGGATAGTAAAAGGAAGTCCTCGTTAAGTAGGAGGGCTATTAAGAGTTAATATAGGAACCCCTATCTTTACTTTACTTAACGGATATTCTAAAAGAGTTCGAATTATATTATAGGCCTGCTAAAAAGTTTAATAGCGACCTAAGCTACTAAAATAGAATTAAAAAGCGCTAAAAACCTATAATAATTATATAAATTATAATAGCGGAAAGAAAACGGGTATTAAATAGGAGGTAAAAAAATAACTAAGTTAAAGCCCGTAAACTAGAAGACTATTTAGCTCTATAAAACGTAATATAAAACTAATAATAATACCGTAAGTATAAAAAAGGGCTACTTAAAGTTTAAAAACCGAGGGCCGGTTACCCTTTTTAGCCTAAATAGAGGGAAGTTAATAACGAGCCGCGGCTTAAAAACGAATTAGTTATAGAAAAAGAGAGTATAAAAAAAGTATTTATAGTAGTGTAAAAGGAGGTAAAGGCTTAGTAGTACTTATTAATAGCGCAGGCCTCTTTTATAATAAAAAAGGCTGCGCCCTTAGTAATAAGGGTAGTAGTAAAGGCGGCGGCGGGGGTTATGCAGGAGGTGGGCGTTTTAATAATAAGGGAAATAGTTGCGGCGCGGGCGTTATAGCGGGCGCAGGCCTCTTTATTCTCGGCTTTAATCTAAGTAGTAGTAGCGATATGTAAACAGCTAAAAGTACCTATAAAGTCCTTATATTAATAATAAAAAAAGAACGGTTAGCGATATATAAATAATAAATATTAAGCGGACGTATAACGGCCTCGAAAGTAAGGTCGTTTATAATAAAAGTTAATAGCTAGTAATACTCCTCGATTATTTAAAAGAACTCTACTTAAATAGCCTTAATAGCGTCGTTAAGTTAAAAATAATAGGTTAATAATTATAAAGTAAATAAAGAATAATAATAGTAAATATACGGGGTCGTAGCGATAATTAACTTTACTATTAGCGTAAGTAGTATAGCGAGTAATACCTCTAGCTTTATAATAAATTAATAACTTATAAATAAGTAAATAATAGTAGCTTAGTATATAAAAATAGTTATAGTAGCTAACGCTAACTAAGGTATTATTATTTTTAACTAGCGCTTATATATAAAGGAAGTAGGGGACCTCGCGCAGGGCGCTTAGTATAGGAGCCTTTTTAAGCTTATATTCCTTCTTTTTCTCTTCCTCTTTTTTCTTTCCTTTACCCTTTTTATTAAGCGTCGGCTAAATATAAAGTTAGCGGACCTCGTAAATAGAGAATAGATACGCTATATAAGTTTAATATACTATTTAAATATTTAACTCGTCCTTAAAAAAGTAGACGGATAATAGCTCGGAGTTAAAGCTAAACTTTAATTCCTTACTATTTATATTACTTTTATTATTAAATAGGGCAACGGGCTCGGCGGGCGCGGTAGTAGTAACGGGCTAGTTAATAGGGACGAACTATTAAAATATTAATAATAAATAGAAAGCTAAAAAGCTACGGAGTAATAGTATATAAAAAATATAGCGGTAGTAATATATAAAATATTTATTTAACTATTTCTTAAATTAAAAAAGGGTTTTTAAACGCGCGTAGGTGCGCGAATATAAAGAAGAGATTATATATATAAAAAACGATAGCGGGAACGGCGGGTTTATTAAAAATTAAATTTTTATAATAGATTAGCGAAATTTAAATAACGGAAGTATAGAAATAAATAGATTAAAGTATTTATGAATCGTTATATAAAGGTTAAAAAAAAGAAGCTTTTTATAAAAAGGGGGGGCCTAACGGAAATTAATAAAAGGGACTATAGGTAGCTAGCTAGCGGGTTAAAATAGGGCGGTCGACTACCTAGGGCACTTATAGTTAAAAAACGGACCGGTAACGGATTTACTCTAAAAACGAAGTAGGGGGGTACGTATTATAGGTTAGACCTAATTAATAAATCCGAGCCTTAGCCTAGATATTATTACGGCTTATTATACCGCTTCCGTAGAGGTCTTATTTAAGCGCTTTTTTTCTATAGAACCTCTATAGAACCTCCGCTTTAAAAACCTCTACTCTTTAGTTTAGATTTTATATACTGAAATCCCCCTAACGTGGACTCATGTGGGCTGGACTCTTAATACCCGGTAAAGAGAGAGTGTGCTCAATGTCGAAGGTGTTGGAGAGTATATTGGCAAATCGATGGCCAGCTAAAACAGTGACAGGTCTGAGATCCTCTACGACGTGTTTGAGGCGGCTGGGGGGAGTGTTGGGATCGAGAATGGTGTACGCCGCTCCGGATTTGAGCACGGCCAGGACTGCGATGACAAGCTCCACAGACCTCTCGGCAAGAATGGGCACGAAGGATCCCTTTTCCAGCTTGAGTCTTCTCGCGAGCAAATTGGCTTGGCTATTGAGCTCGAGAAACGTGACAGGTGTCCTGCCTTCCGACTCAACTGCGATTCTCTCAGGGAATGCAGCGGCGGTCTTTTCAAACAGATGAGGTATAGTCGTAGGCTCGGCGATGCGTGTTGACAGGGACTGCGACATGATGAACCATTGCTCATCTTCAGACGTAAGATCAGAGGCTAATAGCTTGCATTCGCCTGCAAGCTTCAACTTAGACGCGGCATTGACGATGCCAGCGACGAAATGCTGCAGGACAACCTCAACCTCTTCAAGGGGAACGTAGGACTTGCACTTGAGAGTGAGTCTCAATACTCCGCTGTCGCTGATACATAGAACGACGGGAAAATTCCGTAGCCCGGGAGCAATGCATGGCGTGTTCGTCGTTTGACTATAACTGACAGCGGTTTCGACTAAACGGAGGCTTGGGGCATGACGCTGGATCTCCTCGAGTCCTACAAAGGCATGGCGACCAGCTTGGCTGTGATAGCTGTCGAGAGTCTTGGAGGCTTCACTGATAGCCAAGCCCCCATCGCTCTCGACATGGAAACGGACAGGATATGTTTGATCAACACATCCAACGCAGTTGTTTGACCCGATGAAGCTATCGTCCCGGCGAACCGTACCGAAAGTGACATCGTCAGAGCCGGTATGAGTGCTGATCACATGTGCCCAAACGACCTCGAAGAATGTCTGACGCCAAGAGCACAGGCCGTGGTGAGCTTCAAGATCATTGAGTTGCGCTAAATCTGGCCCACTGATAACAGCGCTGACACCATGTCTACCTCTGGTGGTAGTTTGAGTGTATTCATCAGCGTGAATACTGAATATGGACCGGGGAACAAGGCCGGCCAGGGTTTCAGTCCAAAAAGCCTTGGAGGTTCCAATATTTTGTCTTTGTTGGTCGAGATATCGTATATATGTGGCAAATCCTGCAGTCTCGAGGCTGGGTAGCCCATGGACTTGAAGAGCGTAGTCGAGCTTGATCATGTGCAAAGACGTTGTATCGATCAGAGCACGATGAAAGTGAAGGACCAGGCTGATTCCATCCCGCCGGCGAGTGCTTTCAACAGTCACATAAGCTGGAGTCTGACTGTCTTCATCCGGACTCTTGTCAGGATGGTCCCATCGGATGCCCTCGACCCTGCGGAGAACTACGACCTGCGGTTGGCCTGAGCCGGTGTCATTTGTGATGTAGGATCTCAGGCAGATATCTGATGAAAAAGAGAGTTAAGAGTGAGCTAGTGGTCGAAAGGATGTCGAGAGATATGGGACTTACGGTGTGAGGCTAGAGAGGTCCAAGCATTGAAGATGTTCTCGAGACCAAAGGAAGATGGCTTCCCGGCAAAAAGTTCAACTTCTGCCCATTGGACATCTTCACTGAGAATTCCCTGCTGAATCTCCGTTGCAGGAAAACTGACTTCGACCTCTGAAAAGGCTAAAGAGCTTTCCTTGCCGTAGAGCTTATCGTGGATGCCGAGAGCAATGTCGTCAGGGCTAGGGAGGAAGAAATCCTCATGTTTTTCGATATGCCGGATTAACTGCATTGTAGCAGTCAAAGACTTAAGGGAGCGAAAGGTCCAAGAGGATGGAAAGTGCAGAAAAGGAAATTGGAAATGCTGCAGTTTGGACGCAAAAGGTTGAGTGTGATTCTCTAGAATACTGTCTTTCATCATTGCGAGCATAGCATCCAGCTTATAAATAAAAACAAATGAATTCAACGCATTTGCGTTTTTGTACCAAGCCCTGGAGCGTTCCGACCAACCGCTCGTTGATGTGCCCTTCCCTGAATCTTGCTTCCGATGGCGTTTCTCCTCAGCGACAGCATGAGAGTTCCACAAGCATACGGCTCAAGTTCCTCACATCACTATCAACCCATAGGTACCCGCGCGGAAGAGATTTTGGGCTTTGCTGTCACCACCTGCAGCAGGTTTCACCCAGGCTAGCCCGAGCATCGCCACATCGTCCGACTTCCGCCTGGAGAACGGATCTCGTCAGTTTTCCAAATGATTGCGAATATAGAGACAAAAGCTACCTCAAAGATCCAGCAACTGGATGAAAAAGATCTCGAGTCACATTTTGGGCTCCTTGTGGTAAAGATATGGCGTGCTCCCTTCGACCCTCGTCCTCAACGTCGACGCCAACTTTACGACCTTGTCTCGAATCGGGCCATACGCCGACATGGATGCGTTTACGAGTCGAAATATCGGAACTAATGACCTGTCTGGAACTCCACACTACTTCTGACCAGGGTCGGGCAAATTTGTAGATGTGCCACTCTTGATCCGAGTGACCATCATCGCGTGATAGATCGAACGAAACTTTGTAAGACGCATATGGTGAGCCTCAAGCGTCTCGACAGCTTGAGATTCTACCTCGAGTCAGTCTTTGCGGAGTTTCAGCTGATTTTTTTCCGATAAGGCCTATTAAACTTCCGTGTCCTTACTTGTCTGCCGTGATAGCACTTTCGTTGCTGCATCAAGAGTCACGTTCGGCGTGGAGGTGGTTGGAAAATGGCTCATTGGAACGTCGAGGAGAGGCATTCTAGGCCTCATCGCCGGTCTGGAAATGCCTTCTTCCATCCCGTTTGAATTACAAGGAAACTTCTACCGGCGATCAGATTGACAGTCAATCATCAATTAGTGATGCACAGAACGGCGGGAACACCGAGACCCGCTGGTTTCAGCCGTCCCCCTCAAGCTACGAAAGACAGTAACATGAGGAAGAACATGCGCAAATGATACTCAGATTGATCCTACGAGTCATATCCCGTCACAAAATATCCTGGTCAAGAAATCCCATTATACATGCAACTATCTTAGCATCAAGACTGGCATGCTATTCGGAGTGCCGGACGGAAGCGCGGCAGGCGTGACGCTCATGGCTCCTGAAGATTCCAACCCATGCTGTGCATGAGAGTCTGCTTTACAGCTTGTCGATCGGAGAGACGTAGTCAGTGACAAAAGGAATGATGTTACGTGACAGGGGCCGCCATATTACGAAAAATCCCGAATAGGTTGAAGAGGCAGAAAAAACATGGTCTTGTTGACAGGGTTGCTGTTCCTGAATCGATTCAGATGGAGTCTTCAACAAGAGTAAGATGTAACCCCCGCGCACACAGTGTTCTTTTAACTGTGTTCTCCGTCGCCATCTTCCTTGTTCGTTCTCCACATCAGATGAACCGGAGGCTTGAGCCGCACATTATCGAATTGCTTCAACTCAAACTCTAACAGATGACCATGTTCAACGGAGGGAATATCAAGCAGGTCATCATCTGCTCAATATATGGCGCCATTGGTGGGATGATGCAAGATGGGCAGAAAACGAGACGGTGTTGATGATACTGACAGAAGACGACGCTCTCAACAGCGTTTAAAGACCGGGTAAAGTAGTTATAAGTTTGTTCGTCACCACGTTCTACAATGATCAACTTGTCAACTAAAAACTTCTATTTTCCAACTATTCACAAGATTTCGGCATTTTCATCTGCGAACATGGCTTCCTGGGATGATCGTACTGTCACGAACGAGCACTTGCTGCCTTACGTTGACTCGAGCACAGCTCAGCCCGATATCAAGGCTGCTCTCCAAACTCTTCCGTTTGAGAGAAACGTTTTCAAGGTGCGATTGAGACCTCACAAATTTTCAAATATTGTAGTCAAACCTTTGGAATGCCTCGATGTTGACGCCAGTGAACACAGCTTCTTGCAAACAGCAATGTGTTCTTTAAACCGTTCATGAACCTCCTGTCCTCGGCCTGGAGTGAGAAGCGACAGATCCGCTCCACTGATTGGCAGCTCATCGTTCTACGCACTGCAGCCACCTTGAATGCTCCTTACGAGTGGGATGTGAACGAGCCCGTTGCTCGTATCTTCGGCTTTACCGAAGAACAATTCGCTGCTCTGCGCAAGGCCCACGAACCTTTGCCGGAGGGTCTCTTCACCACACGTCAACGCCTTCTTGGTCGTATTGTTACTACTCTCGGGCGCGAGAATAAAGTTGAGGAGGATACCATTGTCGAAGCCAAGAAGACTTTCAGTGATGAGGAGATTACGGAGATCTTCTACGTGCAGGGCATCTATAGTTTCTTGGCCAGGTTCATGAACAGTGCTCGCATTGACTTCGATGAACCGATCCCAGGTTTGGAGGATCAGTTGCGCAAATACAACGCCAAGACCATTGAGAAGGAGAAGCAGTATGTAGACTGACTCTATGGTTAAAGATTAGGGCCTGTAATTGAGATGCATGATGATACTTGGTAAAATGAATCTCAATGAGAATTGCTAGTGGGACTTCCAAGGTTGTTTTTGCTCTTGATTCGCGTGTTGGAAACGCTCTGTGTAAGTTTTGTCAAGTAAGAGTACTTCAGGCTCTAAAGATTTTCACACTATCCCAAACTGATGGAATTCTCTCACGTGGACACACATGTCCCGAGCTGAATGTATGGGTACCTGGGTGACTTTGATCAAGTTTTACTACCTTAATCTACACACCCAAGTTCAGTGTCTCGCCAAAGTATGGACAAACCCCAGTACGCGCTTCGCATCCCCTAACCCCGCTCCAGAGCCAGAAGAGACCGCAGCCTTAATGCTCTGCTCAAAATCGTTCCTTCCCTCTGCTGAGATCGGAACTTGGATTGTTTGCACCTTGGGTGTCACCAGTGCACCCTGAGCCAGGAGATCCTGGAACCAGAGTAGGAGAGACTCCAGTTGCGCGGGTGTTCGCTGACTGAGCTGCTCAGAAAGCCGAAAGTTGCGGAACTTGACCTCAGACCAGAACAAGAGGCGCTGCGAAAGACGCAAAACCGCATCCGCCCCGCCAAGAGATCCATAGTTCACATAAGTCCCTCCATGTGAGAGCAAAGACGCGAGTCGCTCTCCAGGCTCCCCGAAGACGCCATCGATGGCTAGGGCCACACGGTTGCGGCCCGCCGCGTCGGCAAGAGCAGGATGGGCATCGGCACCTCTTGCTTGGAGATCAGACTCGGTAAGGACGGCATCAACCCCGTCTTTCAGCAGGACGGACTTCAGGGACTCCAAAGCGTCCGGACTGCGGTCGCGTACAATGCTGACAGTATGGACACCTTTGATGCGAGCAAACTGAGAAACCAATCGCGCGATGGTCCCAGATCCTATGTTTTGGACAATCCAGTCGCCGGGCTTCAGCGCTCTCACATCCTCAACAAGGAGGTAGGCAGGCAAGAATGTCATGCGAAGGAGCGATGCACCGATGAGATCCTCCGTAGGTGAAAGGCGGATCACATCGGCAGAGTTGAGAATAGCCTGACTTCGCCAAGTTCCTAGACCATGGCGACGCGGGATGACGAGATCGCCGGGCCGTAGCGCTGAGGTCGGGGCCGTCGAGGACGAGGATTCGACTCCTACGACCTCAACTCGCGCGACGCCATCGTAACCCAAAACGGGCTCGCCATCGTGAATGTAAGATGGTTTCACGGGATATCGACCCGCAATGACCAACAAATCTTGTGGGTTGATCGGAGAGACGAGGAAAGACACGAGAACTTTGCCAGGGTCGACAGCCTGAGCTGCACCTTCTGCCTGGGGATAATGGAGTCGGACAGGTGTCGGCGAGTCAGCCGCTGATTGAAACTGCGTGATGATCATGATGATTGGCTCGAGTCCGAAATCTCGACAGAACAAATGGTGTAAATCAATTTGGGGTCCGAAAACAGAGAGACTTGTTTGCAATTTGGAGTCTGGTAACAACGGATCTGTCCTTGTATTATGGCCAGGTGAAAGGACAATGACATGATCTTGAAGTCTAAGTCACATGAGTTGCTTGCTCATAGTTACTTTTGACAAGCTTTTCAACCCTTACTCCGTGGGGGTCTCCCACAACACGTAAACGTTTCCAGGGCGCGATGATGCAAAGCACCCTTGACTTATACCTCATCGACAAATCTGGTCTCTAGCCCTGTCAACAGCCACACATCATCACACAGTGCAGTAGTATTAAAGTTTAGCACTGCAGTAAATCCTAGCGGTCTTCTGCGGCAAAGCCGCATCGCGGGCCCTTCTTACGACGGCCCGGACCGGGGGGAAGGCCCACTACCCGTTGCAAGAGAGATTCGCCATAGGTAGTATTCTCGATTCGCAATAATGACCCTTCCTTATTCGGCAAGCTGATTTCTAATCGCCGTGGAGTTTCTGTTTACTTGCAAAGTTTTGCTTCGATCCTGTCGATAGACAGATCATGGATGTAGTCAGCTCCGCCTGTGTTACATATACGAAGCCGCGACGAAGAGGCCTAGACGTCACAATCTGGTCTCAATCAAGTTGCCAGAAGATTTCTCTCTCAGTTCTCCCTCTTTTTATGATTCCTCTTGACTTTACCACAAAGGAACTACTTCGAAGTCTTTAGAGGCTTCTATCTGGATTCACACTCCAACATGGCTGATTTGGAAAAGAAGGAGGCCACACCGAGCCACGAAGGCGTCTTGACACCACCTTCGCCATCTTCAGATCCGTCAGACAAGGAACAAGCCGTCGGAACTCAGGTCCTCAATAAGGCTGAAGATGCTGATCCGC